AGAAGGCTGTTTATGATGGAATGTGTTGTTTTGATTTTTCTGTGCTGGGTAGAGGTTGGAAAATTGGCTGGTACTAAGTGAAGTGCTTCCTAAACCGAGTTCACTGCCTTTGTCGTGAGAGACAGTTGCACAGAAAAGAAACGAGAGGGACAGTCCACTCAAGTCGTGAACTTGAATTCCTCTGAAAGCGCAGAGCACTGTGTTGTGCCCGGTGAATCAAGGAGGCAAAGTGCAGGGTTCACGGGGCTGAGCAGGAGCGGAGTCCAGGTCAGACTGCTGGGGTGTGACCGGCCAGAGGTCCCTCCCTCCGACTGGTGGTCTTTTTGTTGTGGCATCTCAGGCCTTGGGAAAGTGCAGCCGTGGGTGGAGGAGGGCAGGGTTGCCTCTTGGCTTATCAGGCAAACAGCTTGAAGGGTCCTGATGAGGCAGAAAACAGGCTTCTCACCCTGCAAGCCCCCTGCGTAGACTTGCTCCGTGACCACTGACAATCAAAATGTAACTCTATTAAGTCAGCAATCGCTGTCCCTTTCGAGTTTTAGAAATTTAACTTCTTCTCTTTTAACTCTCTCTTAGATGGATAGATATTTGTGTCTGTTTAAATTACCAAAAAGAAAAAAAAAGTTTTTTGCCTTAAAAAAAAATGTGAATGGTGATTTAAAAGTGGGAGAGGAGAGTGGAGGCTAATGAGGGTGAAGAAAAATAGGAAAGTTTAAACAGGAAGAAAAGAAAAAAAATCGTTACCCAGATACAAGGAGAGTTCATATTTTGCTGCATTTTGAAGACCTTTTCCTATGCTTATTTTTAAATGTATTTGACATCATATTTTATAGACAATCACATAACTTATATGCTTTTTTACTTAACATTTTAACATAAGCATTTCCCATGTCATACAATTTTTTTTGGAGGCGGGGTAAATACTTAAGGATAGCATAACATGCCATTGTATTAATGCACTTTCCTTTAAGGGCCCAACAACAGGTGAATGGTTACGTAGATTGGTTCTTGGTTTTTACTTTTATAAATAATGATGCTGTGAATGCCATTGTGCTTGAATCTACGTCTTTTAGATGATTTCTTTCTTTTGTAATTCGTTTGTTTATGTCATTTGCCTATTGTTTTTGTAAATATATATATTTTATTGAAGTCTAGTCAGTTTACAGTGTGGTGTCAGCTTCTGGTGTGCAGCCTGATGCTTCAGTCATGCATGTCATTTGCCTATTTATCTAGATGTCTCGTTTTTTTTTGAATTGCTGTATATAAAATTGCCTTATCTACAGCTCTCATATATGAAGGGCTATATGGAAATCCCCTGTTATATCCATCGGCATTCTTGTTTATTACGGTGTAGAGTTTTTACATTTTGGGGTTGTTAAATCTCTAGCATGCTTCTTTGGTAAACTTTGTGTTACTTTTAAGCTTAGAACATCCTTCCTTATTTAGAGCACGTATGGATAGTAAATGTAAAAATCTCAAGCTATGAAAAGGTAACAACTTCAACTTACAGCAGTGGGTTTTAATATGTGTCAGGCTATACGTTGATTTTTGTTTTATTTCTTTCTAACAACTGATTTTCTTTTTCTGGGTGAGAAAGCTTGATTTGATACATACATGATATGTCTTAACTCATTCTTAGCCCGTTACACAATAGGTGCTTGATTTATGTTGTCTGAGCTGGGGTGCTTGGCTCAGCTGTTCCTGGAGCTCACCTGTACCTGATTTTCGGTTTCCGTGAGACACTTCTCATCAGCCTTATAATAAAGTTCCCTTGCTGGCTTGCGCTGGCCTAGCTTCCGTCAGGGATGGGCGGCAGACTGCGGAGTGATGTAGCTGGTGTTGCCATGTTAAGAAGGCGTGCTCAGTTCTAACTTACCGCGGCTCGTTCCAGAGGGAGTGCCTTTCTGTCCACGTGGGCCAAGCTGGCGTCCAGATTGGGTCTGCCTGCTGGGAGCTCTACTGCCTGGAACATGGGATCCAGCCGGATGGTGTTCGCCTCCACAGCAGGAAGGATCAGGCGGCAGGTGCTGAAACAGACCCTCCGGAGGCATCCTTGGATTCCTTCTTTTGTGAGACAAGAACTGGGAAGCATGTGCCCAGAGCACTCTTCCTGGACCTGGAGCCAACTGCTGTAGGTAATGTGCCCTAACCAGGCCCCCAGTCAAAATGGACATGTCGGGTGTCAGTGGGCGGGATCATCAGATGATATGAACATATCTGATCAGGATCGTGTGGCCCTTTTCCAAATTTACAGGATCACTTGGTGGCCATTAAGGGTGGTCAGCATGACAGACATACCCAAAGGGAGGACTAGCTTAGCCTTCTTTTCCTGTGTGACGGGCCAGGTGCACGAGTCGCTGAGCAGAGTGGGAACGTGCTGGGAATTAGAGTGGGCCGTCTGTGTACTTATGAACGATGCTGCTGTATCATTAACCTCCCAGAAAGTGGATTTAACTGAAAGAATTTATAGACCTAGCTACCCTCAAGAACTCAACTGGATATTATCAGGAAGAAGCGGGCTTCCATAAATTCCATAAATTCCCTCCTTAGACTGGGCTCCGCCTGGAGCCTCAGGTGAGAAGCAGGTGGTCCATCTGGAATGATATGCCCACTTGTTTAGAAATATATCTTTTAAAAAATTCCAACTTTGATTTTTTTTTGCTGTTTGTGGATTAGTTAATAGTAATTTCAACTCAATTTTATTAAATTTAAACATTTAGGGGTGCGCAGAATTGTGGTTTAGAAGCTCATGGTCATAAACAGGAGGGCAAGGTGTATTGAGAGGACCACCTTGCTCTTAGGAAATGAGCATGTTTCCTCTTAGGCTGTGAGCTTCTCGGACTCACTGCAGGTATCTGGTGCCAAGGCCGGTGGGCACCTCTGCATATACACGTGTCACGAAGCCAGTTTCATCATTATTGTTTATAATTGTCACATGGGCCATGCATCGTGCCCCTTGGTCATACTTAGTCCTCATGATGATAACCCAGGGAGGGTCTTGTCATTATCCTCACGGCAGAGATGAAATAATCGAGGCTGAGAGACTCTTAAGTAACCGCTGTAGGGCTTAGGGAGGAGGGCCAGCTATGAACCCAGGAAACTGATTCTCGAGCACCTGCCTTTAACTGTGCAACGTGCACCCCACGTGACCAGGGCAGCGATCCCAGAGCCCCGCCAGCCCCCAAACACCGCTGAGTCGGTCTTCAGGAATCCTGCCGTTCGGGTAATTCTCCGGGGCGGGAGTGGGACACAGCCTCAGAAGTGCTGTGTTTTCTTGTTTTCTCCTGCTGCCCCGGATATGGGAAGCGAATGAAACCAGCAAGGGTTGTCCATGGTTGTAGCGAATCCTGCCAACCTCTTAACATCCCTGCTTCGTGCGTCTGTGTTAACTGCAGAGTCCGGTGGGCGTTCAAGTTTGCCACACCTTCTCTGTTCAAGCCTCTTTTGAAGCATAGTGCCCCCGAGTTAGATTGGTAACCTTTCCTAGCACACAGTTGGGTCTTTGTCTTAAAATGCCAAAGTGCCACGCACGTGTTGGGGGTTGAATGGAGTCTCCCGTAAATGTGCACCCACCTGGAACCCCAGGTTCTGACTTTATCTGGAAATGGGGTCTTTGCAGATACACTTAGTTAAGATGAGGTCATTCCAGAATAGGGTGGGTCCCGTATCCAACCATCTGTATCTTTATAAGAAGAAGAGAAGACACACGGACAGGGAAAGGGGGCCCTTTATGATGGGAGCAGAGACTGGCGGGGTGGAGCCGCAGGCCAAGGAACTCCCAGAACTGCCCACAGTCTCAGAAGCTGGGAGAGGGGCGTGGACGGTTTCTGCCTTGGAGCCTCCGGAGGAGCCAGCCCTGCCAACACCTTGATGTTGCCCTTCTGGCCTCCTGAACGATACGCCTCTCATTTTAAGCACCAAGTGTGCTGCAATTTTCCAGCAGCCCTGGGAAGCCAATAAAGGGTGTATGATGGAGAAACAGGCTTTCAATTTATGTGGGAATAATTGTACCTTTTCCTTTTCCTAGACCAGGGAAGGCCGATTCAGCAGTTTAAACCCGTTTCTTTCCCACAACGCTGGGGGAGAGCAGGGGCTCGGGGACGGGGCTGTGAGACTTAGCAGGGTTGGCGGTGCACTGGAGGGGCGCGCGCTGACCAGCCCTCCCCCCGCAGACGGCATCCACTCGGGCAGGTACCGCTCCCTCTTCCACCCCGAGCAGCTCGTTAGCGGCAGGGAGGATGCTGCCAACAACTACGCTCGAGGTCGCTACTCTGTGGGGCCGGAGGTCATCGACCTGGTGCTGGAGAGGATCCGAAAGCTGGCAAGTAGCTCCCCCTCCTGCCCTGGGGCTGGGTATGAGGGCCTGGGCTCACGCGGGACCCGCCCGGGCAGCACCAGCTTCCTACCTGCAGCTCCATCGCCTCCCAGCCGCTCACCCGGGGGCCCCCTCGCACACTCCAAGCTGGGCGTCGTGACGTGGCCATGCATCAGGCTTCCTTTGTACTCACTGCACAGCCTGCATCGCCTCCTGCTTTTCTTTTTACACTCATGATGCAGGGTTTTGCTTTATTTCCCCCTGATTTATTGAGATACAATTGACATACAGCATTGTGTGAAGTTAAGGTGTACATCGTGATGATCTGGCACATGTGTAGATTGCAAAGGGATACATCCATCCTTCACGTAATTACCTTGTGTGTGTGTGTGTGTGTGGTGACAACATGTAAGATCTGTGCTCTCAGCAACTTTCAAGTCTACATACAGTGTCATTAACGAGAGTCACCACGCCGCCCATTAAGTCCCCAGAACCTATTCATCTTTGAAGTGAAAGTTTATACCCTTTGATTAACGGCTCAACATTTCCCCCACCCACCAGCTGCTGGCAACTACTTTTCTACTCTGTTTCTGAGTTGGACTTTGTTCAATTCCACATATAAGTGAGACGATACAGTGTTTGTCTTTGTCTGACTTAGTTCACATTGCATGATTGCCCTCCACGTACACCCGTCTTGTTGCAAATGGCAGGGTTTCCTTCTTTTTAATGGCTGGCCAGCGTCTGCTCTTGCTTCTGCTAATTCACGGCTTATCTTGCTGTCGGAGACTTCCGGAGCCCCCTCAGACGTGTCAGGTTCCAATGTGCCAAGTTGACAGCAGGTACATCCTACCTGGAGATCGGTCCCTCTGTTTTACTGACAGTTGATTCTTGTTTGTTAAGGACCCGTGTCTGGAGAATCCTTTGGTAAATACTTTGGTCTTTGGCATAATCACCACGGAATCCAGTGCCTTTTACCCCAGCACAGCAGACTGGGTGTAGCGGTGAAGGCTTCTTCCTCCGTGGAGGGGGGAGGGGAATATATTGCTTCAATATTTTCTTTTGTTAGAATGAAGACCTTACTTTAGATCGCGAACACGTAAATTCATGAAGGGAAACAAAAGACAGTTGAATATTTATCCTTTGCAGAAGTAACCACTTGAGTATGTCTCAAAGTGACCGTGTTTGTTGTGCAGTTAATAGTGATAAACCAGCCCTTTCTGAAAGCTTTTCTCCGTTTTGGGGACCTGGCCGTGCCCCCCCGTCACCACTGCCTCTGGGTTTGCCTGGCTGAGTCTTCTCGCCTCATTTCCCGTCCCCAGGCGGAACAGTGCAGCGGACTTCAGGGATTTATGATTTTCCGAAGCTTTGGAGGAGGCACTGTGTCAGGGTTTACATCCCTCTTAATGGAGCAGCTCTCGGCAGAATACAGCGGGAAGACTAAACTGGAGCTCTCTGTCTATCCGGCCCCCAGAATCTCCAGCGCGGTGGTGGAGCCTTACAACTCCGTCCTCACCACGCACTCCACCCTCGAGCACGCGGACTGCACCCTCCTGGTGGACAACGAGGCCATCTATGACATATGCCACCACAAACTGGATGTCGAGCGCCCCTCCTACGCCAGCATCAATGGGCTGATAAGTCAGGCAGTCTCTTCCATCACCGCTTCCCTTCGGTTTGAGGGGGCCCTGAATGTGGACCTCATCGAATTCCAGACCAACCTCGTACCTTACCCGAGAATACATTTCCCCCTGACAAGCCTGGCCCCCATCATCTCTGCCGACCACGCCCACCACGAGCAGCCGTCCGTGTCGGACCTCACCGCTGCTTGCTCCCAGTTCTCCAACCAGCTGGTCAAGTGTGACCCTCGCCTGGGGACGTACCTGGCCTGTTGCCTGCTCTACAGAGGGGATGTGGTCCCCCGGGATGTGAACGCAGCGATTGAGGCCATGAGGACAAGGAGATCTGTTCGGTTTGTAGATTGGTGTCCAACGGGTTTCAAGGTGGGCATCAGCAGTCACCCGCCCAGGGCGGTGCCGGGAGGGGACCTGGCGGAGGTCCGGCGGGCCGTCTGCATGCTGAGCAACAGCACGGCTGTGGTGGAGGCCTGGGCCCGCCTGTGCCACAGGTTCGACCTCATGTACGCCAAGAGGGCGTTCCTACACTGGTATATCAGGGAAGGCATGGAGGAAGGCGAGTTCACAGAGGCCAGGGAGGACCTGGCAGTCCTGGAGAGGGATTACGAGGAAGTGGGGCAGAGCTCCTGACGCCAGGCTGACTGGTGAAAATGAATGTTAAGCTGAAGTGTCACGCTGTGCACTTAATGGGTAGAGTTCCCTTGATGAGAAGAAAAAGGAAATCAAGTCAAGCAAGGCCCCGCGTTCCAGGCTCAATCAAAGGGGCTGAAGGTAACAAGGAGCACGTGTTTCCTTGTCTCTGAGTGTCACTCAGCGCTGCCCCCGTGAACCTTCCCAGGTTTGGAGTCCTTTGAACTTGCGGGTCTCATTTTTTTTTTTCCTGGTTGGAATAGAAACCTGGCTTTGTCCTTTGCTTTTTCAACCAAGTGGCTGTGAAACCCTAAAGTGAATGCCTTCCCTTTTGTTCCTGAGGTGGAAAACAGCACATAATGATTACTGGTGTTATTTCCGCCCTGTCTGTGTTTTGTACCTTGATTAAATAATGGATATTCTCAGAACGCGTCTCTTCCTTCTTCCACCTTAAGGTCTTGATTTGTTCTTTATACAAATAAACGACAAGAATATTCTTGGGTTTTTCAAAAATCTGCATCTCTGTGTCCTGCAGATCTGAAGGTGAAAGTAATTTCGTTCATCTCATCTGTCCTCGAGGACATTTTCTCAAAGTGTGGCCGGCAGGACCCTGCATCGGAACCACTTAAGAGATTTAGGGAAAAAATGCAGGTTTCTGAGCTTCACTATGAGCTTGCTAAAAGAGAAGATCTGGGGATTGGGGGGAGGGGCACCTGAGGATTTAAGTTCAAAACCACTTAATGGAATTAATTTTGAAGACCAAACTGTCCCATGTACAGACAAGTAATAATTTAAAGTGGACGAACATGCATTAAAACCACTAGCCAGATTTAAAAGTCCGTGATGCTCAGTCCACTGGTTGGAATTAAGGTGAACTAGATCCTGAAAGATGCTCAGGTGGGTTTCAGGTGCCTCCTTCGTCTGCGGGGCTTCCCTTTCATCCTGCATCCTCCAGGTAAACTCTCTCGGCCTCCCCATGGTCAGTGCTTTTGGTCCAGGTGAACACCTGAAGGTAACAGCTCCACAGCCTTGGCTGGAGGCCCAGCGCGGGGGGGTCTTGTTGGAGATTTACCAAAGTGCCCGGCTACCACCTGCTCCTTGTGTGTGCCCCGAGGCCCAAGAACTGGCACTCTGTCTTGGAGACTTTCCTGGTAGACGCTTTTACGAATTAAAATCACTGCACTGAGATGTGGTGTTCGAGAGCTCAATTTTGCCTGTTGTCACCTTGGAGGCCAGTGGCCGTGGTTCAGTAGAAACGATATTTCGGCCCTCCTCACCATGGTCTTGTGCTTTCTGTTCAGGCTAGATGCTCACCCTTCCGCAGCATGTGTTTCCTCTCTCTCCTCTGCCTACCTCCATTAAAAAAAAATTTCCTCCCCCACCAACCAAGAAAATAAATTAAAAAATAAAAGAAGCTGTGCCCTCATGGAATTTATATGGTAGTGAAGGTGGGGGTGAAAGGTGACAAACATGATAAGTAAGTTGCGTTGCGTGTTGAAGGTGACAGTTACAATAGTGCCCACGGGAGACAACAGAGCTTGGTGGGGCTCTTATGTAGGTTTCCACGCTGTTGCGAGCCACACAGTGGTTGGGGTGGCGTCGATGAGGTGCGAGAGAAAAGGCCAAGTTGTTGGATCAATGTGTTGAGCGGGTGAGAGGGGGTGGGGGGTCAGTGCCCAGCACAGGGTTGTCCTTGACCAGGAGCAGGGAGGGTTCACCTGACCCAGGAAGGAGGCCAGTGCGCCTGAGTCCAGATGCTTCGGGTAGGTTGATGAGGGGTGGCATTTGTTGGAAGTTTGCTTCTGCAGCATCTGGTTTCCTCAGTGAAGTGGGAAGCAAGCTCACCAGCCGAGACTGGAGAGAGGAGGGCGAATGAGAAGTCTGAGGGGAGAAGGGAAGGAGTCTGGGGCGGTGGGCGTGTGAGCGGCGGAGGGAAATGTGGCCAACTGCTGCAGACCTGAGGGAGTCCATCTGAGGAGGCTTGTCAGGATTCGCAGGGAGATCCGTCAGCATGCACGTGTGTGCGCGCGTGTGCACACGTGTGTGAAGCTGTGTTTGGCTTCGCCATGAGGGGTGGAATGTTGGGGTGTTTACATTTATCAGAGTTTAATCAATAAGGCAGAGCAGAAGCCGGACAACGACTGACCACTGGCGTGTTGACACTGGCGAAGAGCAGAGAGACGTTAGGAGCAGGGGGGGAGGGACAGCGGCAAGGTAGCAGGGTCAGCGGGTCACTGGGCTCAGTGGGGCTGAAAGACCGCCGGAGTCGGCGTCCTGGAAAGAGCGAGCTGGAGAGATGGGGGGGTGGCCCCACAGTTGACGGTTTGTGGTGATGGATCAGGGGTGTGGCCGTGGGAGCGAGTGGCCGGCTGAGAGAGGGCACTGGGCAGAGTCAGGGCCTAGAACGGAGACCCAGGATGTGGGACGGGTCACCTATAGGCATGTCGAAATCACCAAGCACTAGGGCGGGAGAGGTGTCGGAGAGACTGACGAGCCAAGAGCTAAATTGCCCAGGAGCAGAGGTGAGCTGCCCCAGGGGGTGGTGACTGACAGCCGTGACTGGGTGGTGAGGGTGATTCAGTCCCGACTGAGGAGGTTCAAGCTGGGGAGTGATGGCTTAGGGAGGGAGGACTGTGTCCCAGGACTAAAGATGCTCACGCTTTAAGGAAACACCGGGTCACTCCCGAGGCTTGGGGTGATTTTCCCAAGAAAATTCTTTTTGCCTTTTGCCTTCTCAGTTCACCGAGGCCTCTTAGTGACGTTGACCAGGCTGTGACAGGATCTTTGCGGCTATCATGGGCGTGCTGAACCCTAGCAACAGCCTGTAACAGGAACTTCATTAATTAAAGAATGAGGTGGGGGGGGTCATTGTGTTGTACCCCTGAAACTAATAGGACAGTGTCTGTCAATTACATCTCAATAAAAGTAAATAGTTTTTTTTTTAAAGAACACAGTATTTCATAGCTCATGCCTAGATTTGAGTCATGTGGTTAATTTTCAAGTCAGATTACATCTGTAATTCTTACTAAGGTAGCCAGCTACACCATTTGATTAGATTTTGTATTTTTGGCTCTTAATATCTATCATTGTCTATTAGTTTAATACTACATACTCTTCCGCTCCTGTATCTCCCATTTTCTTGGAATTATAGAAACTATCTGATTGAATTCTGGGTATGACTTGGCTTTCCCGGATGGTTTGGTTACAGCCTCCAAAATAATTCTACTGTCGGGAAGCAGGCACTGCTGTTTGCTGTCGGTGTTCGTTTTTCGGGGTTTCTCGCCAGGTAGACCGTCTGGAGACTGGATCCTCCATGCACTTGTCTCCTTGGAGGAGGTTCACTGGGTGTTTCAGCCTTATTTTTATTTCTAAAAGAGAGTTTAAACTATTTTTTTTTCAAGGGAGCTCAAACCAACACCAAGAACCTGACAGAGACTGTGTTCGGAATTTTCACACATACAAACTCATTTTTATCTCCCCTCCAAATCACTTTCAAATTTGTGTATTATTTTTCTAATGAACCTCACATGCCTTGATTTTCATGGCATCGTATTTCTCTCGCAAAGCAAGTTCCAGTCACAACGTTAAATCCTTGGGTACCAGGAGCCTGCCGTGGTTACCACATTCTACTCAAACACTCTGACCTCAGCTGCCTGCCGCTGCACTGGCGCGGCAGATTTTTGTGGCCAGTGAGGCCGCTCCATCTCTTCTTGGCTTCTTCCCAGAGTGAGAAGGCAGAGGAACCAGGGCGTTTCTTCCTTTTAGGGCAGCTAGGATGGACACCAGTCCCCCTCCGCCCCGCCCCCAGTGCTTTTACGCGGTGGGCTCAAGAGTGGCGGGGGAAGGAGGCGGTCCTGATCTCTGGATGTGGCGCCTCCACCTGCCATGTGGTGTTGATGTGACCGTGAAGTCGTGCTTAGAAGCAGCGTGGACACTCAAGTCTGGTCCATTCTGGGGACTGGAGCTGAGACAGCAGAACACTGGGCTCAGTGGGAGCCCCGCTCCCCGGGAGGAAACCCCTGCATTCCCACTGTGGTCGGTGGGTCCAGCTTTGGCACATTCTCCCTAGTTTGTGACCCAGATGCTTCTGCTCACATTTAAGTCGCCTGTACGGCTCTGTGGGCATTCTGAACAGCTGACCCTCCTGCTGAGGACAGAGTCACCCTAAGGCTTGGCATCTGTGTGGGGCTTTTCCACCTGAGTGGCTCACCGGGGTCGTTGCTAGCCCGGTAAGGCAGTGACGTGGCTCGTGATTCTGTGCCCTTTGTCCACATGAAGGGTCAGCTCTGCGTGGAGGGGCAAGCAGAAGCTCTTGGCTGGGTGGACTTGACTCTGTCACTTACCAGCTGGGGACCTTGGACAGCTCCCACCCTTCTCTGGGCCCCCACCTCTTGCTCCAGAGGCAAAGCTGAATCCTCTAGAGTTCTGTTACATATGCAATCCCCTTACTCTGCCAGCAAACCTCACCGCCCTAGGACACATTTTAGCTTGTGTATGATAGTGTATTTGCAAAAAGAGCGACAGAAAGTCTGGTATTTGCAAGGATCTGTGCCTTCTCTGTTCTTTTCAAGAAACCAGTCTCTTGTTTGGAGCCTTTGTGATGCAGGTACCATGATTCAAAACAAAGCAAAACAAAAACAGAACTTTTTAAAGCTGTTTGTAAGTGTCCACTAGAGATCGCTGTCTTCAAAGCTCTTTCATTTCGTTAAAGGTCCTAGGAGGAGCCGGCTGTGAATTTGAGCGCGCTCGGTGGTACCCCCTGCAACTTTTAAGTTCTGGTTTTACGTTGTTTATGGAAATGTAACACCTGCTTGGTTTTTCCCTCAGCCACGTTAATCCCCCGCTTCCTGTCCTCTGCACCTTTGATGTGAACAGAATATGCACGATTAAAACAACAACAACAAAAAGTTCAAAGCAAATTAAAAAAAATCTTCAACGTGAAAAAAACTATAGTGCTTTAAAATATACTCTTGAGAACTCAGTGAGGGCACGTTCATAAAGAGGGTTCCCAGCACATCAGCACTCAGGGAAGTTATAGGATTTGCTCAGAGACACGAAGAAGAGGAACCCAGACTCACAAGTGAGTATTCTGAGTCTCGAGCAAGATTCTCTCTGCTCTATCGTGAGGTTTTCCCAGGATGGAAACAACAGCTGCGTTTCAGTTTTGTTTTTTTTTTAAGTATTGGTCCTGTTAAGAGATGAGGTATTTTTCAGTGCAAGGTTAGGTTAACATTAAAAAAAAAGAAAAGGATACAGTTTCTCTTTTTCCAATAATGCCCACCAGAAGCAGGATTGCTGAGTTAAACTGAATTTGTGATTTTGAAAAGTATTTCCACATTGCTTCTCAGTTTATTTTCCCACTAGCCAGCAGTGGAGGAGGGTGGAACCTTACCTCCTCAATTACAGTGCCAGCCAGTTGTCAAACAGGGACTTTGCGGGGCTGATGGCGGAGAACGTGTATATGAGTGCACTTTGAATTTGTTTTACTGTTTATTGTTTTACTGTTTACACAAAGTTTAGCGTCTTTCCCTGCCTCTAAGGATCATTTGTGTCTGTGTGTCTGTGTGCCTGTGCGATCTGTTCACACTTATTTTTCTTTCGGGTTCGTTCTTTTCAGTTTTTAGCAGCTCTTTACATATTTGATCACTAATCCATCTGTCTTGTATATGAGTGGCAAACATTTTTCCAAATTTGTCATTCACTCGCCTTTTGACGTTGCCTCTGCTGGTGTCGGGGCTGGTTGCTGGTGTGTATGCATGTGGTTTCTTTTCCCTTTTCTGTCCTCATGACTGATCGCCATGCACAAGGCTTTGCTGCCAGAGGCCATCCAAGTTCTAACTGATGTCCATGCTTGGTGACATTTTACTCATGTCGAACCTCCCACCTCACTCTGAATTCCTCATATGTAATGTGTATTTACACTAACTGCCATCACTTTGCAGTTCACGGCTTATACACGCCCTGGTGGTGTTTGCTTCTTTTCAAATTTTGCTTTTGTCCGTTCAGTTAGGCTGTTGGCTCCTGGAGAACAGAGGCCTTGCCTCCCATGTCAGTATCTCCCCACGTGCCCAGCACCGGGCTGGACGGTGGCCAGGGGTTTAAGAAGCAGCTTCTCAATACTTGGTGACCCAACCCCTAGCAAGCCACGGAGGAGGTCCGGATGTCCCAGGGAGGTAGTTGAAAGCACCCCCTCCCGCCAAGCCCCAAGGCTACTCTGTAGCAGAGCCCAGGCTGCGCCCCTGGGTGGGACCAGGCTGTGGAGGTGGCTCTGGATATGGCAGCCGGCACAGACCTGCCAGCTTGGCCTTTCCCAAGCTCTTCTTCACTCCTCCTAAGACCTCCAGAACCATCTCCCCCCGAGGAGGGTCGGGAATGGACACACTCATAACCTCCCTCACTGTGAAGTGGAAAGCCCCATAAAAAGACCTGCAGGACCCCCAGGCAGGGCCACCGCTCTCCTGCCGGCACCACCCGGTTCCCTGGCCCAGAGGCTCTAGCTCACTTTTTGCCTCTGAAACGGCTTACTTACCCCTAAAATTCTATTGGTCTTCTGGGCCCGCTGGAGTAACAAACCTGAGTTCTTCACATCTCCAGCGCTGCTTGGTCTCTCCCCCGGCCCGGATCCAGGTTACTGTCACAACTGAGCTGTAACACCGAGCTGTAACATTTTTTTGCAACAACTGGCTGTCCCTTTTCCCAGCTCAGAGGCCGGAAAGCAGCCAACTGAAGGACCAGGAACCGAAACAAGACAGAGCTTCAAGGAGCCACTTTTTAATGGGGGCGAGAGGGTGGGGAAGGGGTCTGGTGGCCGGATGGTGAGCAGTGTGTTTCCTCGTCTTCCGGCCTTGGCTGGGGATGGAGTGCGGGGAGGAGGGGAGCCCTGCTTGCCTCTTCTCAGGTGAGGGGGTCACCAGGGAGAAGCGTGACCTTTGCCTCTCGTCGTGGGGGAGGAGAAAGGAGACAGAATATGGGGAGAGACGTCAGTAGCCTTGTGGCGGTGGAGCTGGGATAAATCCTGCACGGCTGTGTGTGTGTCACAGAGGAGCGGGGAGTGGGGCTGGGGAAGGAAGGAAGAGGGTAGAGGGGTTGAGTGTGAAGCTGCCCGTGAAACAGGACTGGTCCCTCCAAGTGCAAACCACCCCCACCTCCGTTCTGGTCCCTGATGGGCCGCTGTCCCTCCAGCCTCGGCTTCTACTTCTTCCGCCCGATCTGAGCCATCAGGTGGGCGTTGGCGGCCGCCTTGGCTTGCAAGTTCTTGGCCTTGGCGATGTTGAAGAGGATGTTCATGATGTTGGTGGGGACATCGAGGGACAGCGTGAACTTGGTGCGCCGGTCACTCTGGGCCTTGTCCTGGTACAGCCGCCCCCTGAGCTGCGCTGGGGACAGGTACTTGTACCGGGTGCTCCCAGCTGCGCCGCCCCCGCCGGAGCCAGGGAAGGCCCTTTTCTCCTTGTCTTGCTCCTCCTCCTCCTCGTCCTCTCCTGAGGATGGGTCTTGGCTGGGCAGGTGGGGGAAGCTTCTCCTACTCAGCAGGGTGCGTCCTCCAGCGGGCTCTTCCTGGCCTCAGACAGGGCTGTGCTGATGCAGCTGAAGACAGACCCGGCTTTGTGGAACCTCCCGGCGAGGCCCGTCCGGGGGGCCCCTAGGAGCAGCAGCAGCAGCAGCAGCGGGACGTGGGCCGATATCAGCATCTCTTCCTGCAGCAGAAAAGAGCGACGCGGGAAAGCATGTGATGGGGGCTGAGGGCTTGGTGGGAAATGGCCTCAGATCTAACAGGGCTTTGTTCGTGCTCAGCCTCAGCAGGTCTCCAAGTGCGGTCTCTGGACCAGTGGCAGCCTGTGGAAATTTGCTACAAATGCAAAGCATTCTCAGGTCTTGCTCCAGAACTAGAAAATCAGAAACTCTGGGGCCAGCAACCTGTGTTCTGACAAGCCCCTCAGCTGCCCGTGGTAATGACTGATCCTTGGTTTAAATGATCCAAACGTATGAACCAGTTACGTCTGGGTTTGTAGCCCCTAGGGAAAGCCTCACAGACTCTGGAGTCAGACAGATGGTGGTTCAAATTCCAACTTGGTCCGGATTTGCGTGAGGGCTGTGGACGGACTACTTAACCTCTGAGAATTTCAATTTCCTCATCTGATAATTGGGGATAACCATAACTACCTTATCAAGGTTAAGTGAATGATTAAATTAAAGTGGAAAAGTTCTTGGTTGAACCAAATACTTAATGAAGAAGGGTGGTTCATATCTGTTCACATATAAATAATCTCCAGGTCCTGTATGAATGAGATTCAGTTCACATACAGCCATCTTAGCAGTGATACACTTGAGGGGAGGGCACAGCTCAGTGGTACAGCACATGTTTGGCATGAATGAGGTCCTAGGTTCCATCCCCACTACCTACATTAAAAAAAAGCTCTAATTACCTCCCCCCTGCAAAAAAAAAACCACATCTAAAGAAGTGATATATTGATAACTCTCTGTCTTTGTCTCTGTCTCTGTCTGTCTGTCTGTCTATCTATCTATAGCAGGTAATTTGATCCTACAGACCAGTATCTTTGTTGTGCTGCATTTCTGGCTTTTATCTTTTGGCTGTATACCATTCTCTCTGCCCTAACCCAGGAAGGCTCTCCTGGCCTTGAACTCAGTCTAAGTAACCTGCTGTCAGCCTTCAGAGTGTTCAGAATCCCATGAATGGGTTGTTCAAACACGAGCTTCTAGGCCCCATCCCAAGTGTTTCTGAATCAGTAGGTTTAGGATGAGGCCTGAGATCTTTCATTTCTAACACGTCCCTGGAGGATGCTGAAGCTGTGGGTCACAATCTGAGGACCACTTTCTCAGTTTTCCAACCCATCTCTGAGCCCCTTAGAATCGTGTGCCCAATTCCCGGAGGATGTCTTACAAGGGTGTGTTGACTGTGGAAGGGTGGACTTTTTCCTTCTTTCAATAGTGTGTTCAATCACCAGACTTCTGGCTTTATCATTTACTGAAGATCTCGTTTTGCGTAAATATAGCCTGAATAATGGCATTAGCTGTTGGACACCTGGGAGGCACCTTGAAGCTTGGGAGCACTTTCAGAGGGTTTGTTAAGCCTGAAAAGGTTTAAAAAGCCAAAATGCAATTCACAGAGAAAGGGTTAAGGCTGAGGGGAAAGCTGTCTCTCTCTGTCACTCTTGGGCCTTTGTCCCCGGCTCCTTTCACCGACCAGACTCAGTCCTGGCCTCCCGCTAAGTCACTCAGCAGCTAAATGCTCTGGGTCCCTGCGTTGCTGTCTGTGAGGTCAGGGGATTGAGTTCCAGACTCGCACTCTCTCTCTTCTTTCTGTTTAGCTTTGTTTAGGGGTCACAGGGGAAAAGAGAAGAAATGCTCCACAAAGAAAGGAAGGAATCTGATTTCCATGCAAGTTCCCCTCTTACCTCCTGCGGCTTCCGCAGCCGTGACCCCCAGAGCAACAGCACAAGGGGGAGATTTCTCCACTACCTGCTCTGAAAACAAGAGGTCCCCACCGGGCTAGATTTAAGGGGCAAAGTTCTCCATCTCTAGTTTTCTCGTTTGGGAACCTGAAACTCAGCTGTTCTTTGGCGTTAGTGTAGCCGTGCTTTTCTGAAGATGCCCGCTGACTTCTGAGAGCTGTGACAGTCACACCCTAGGGTCTGTCAGTCACACCCTTCAGTCACACCCTGAAGCCTTTCAGAAGGT